CACAGTTAGGTCTCCATCAGATAATTCATCTGCATGTGTTAATGTTGGGGTGCTACAGCACGTGCGCACGTGCAGGGGGCGCTCCCAGATCTCGAGAACGGCTGGGCCGATTGCGCTCAAATTTGGTACACGGTTGGGGACCAGTTAGTAGGGTGCCGTGCAAAAGTCAGTTTGGACCCCGCTTGCACGTGCGCACGTGCAGAATACCGCTTCCAGATCTCAGGAACGGCTGGGCCGATTGCGTTGAAATTTGGCACACCGCTAGCGACCGGTTGGAAGGGTACTTTGCACAAGCCCGTTGGAAGTACCCTCTCGCCCTTGCGCACGTGCAGGACTCACTATCTTGCTCGCTCGTTCTTCGCCCAAAAGGCGTTTTACTGGTTAACCCGGCACCGCCTGGGCTATTTCCGTACGCACGACAGCCTGGGGGGGGGGGGGTCGGATCCGACCCCCCCTGTTATCTCGAGTACCAATGGTCGTATCGAGCCCCGCGAGGCGGCGTTCGAAAGGTCTCTACGAGACCTTCCAAAGGCACTCTAAAGATTTTAAGATTGAGGTCAACTTTCGGGTCAAGGTCAGGTCAAAGGTCAAATTCTGGAGTTTTGCATGATTAGGCTTACGGACAGCGGAATCGATAGCTGCTGCTCGAAACTCACCAAAAACGACCTCAAAGGCCTAGTAAAGGTACCATGTGCGTATAGGGGTCATACTAAGTACGGGTCAAGGTCAGGTCAGGTCACGAAAGGTCACGGCTTTCACTTTCTGCCACATGGGCGTGCGACACATGTTTTATTGCTTATTTTTCACGCCGAATCCGATAGTAATGGTTATATGTGACCCCAAGTCACTGTGCTGGTGATAAGTGTGCATTGAAAGCATAGAAATCGTTTATACCATACATAACTAAACGAGGGCTAAGAAAAAAAGTCAATTTTTCAACTTCTTATTTTTGACATAAAAATGCACTTTTCTAGACGAGCTTTGTCCCAGGAATCTAGTGGTGCCGTTTGTTTTAACATGCGATGTTCAGAAGTGCCTCTAATTCACGAAAATGCTTATGACGTCACCATGCCCTATGCATGTTGGAGCTATTTTTTACAATTTTGGGGTCAAAAATCAAGATAGAAAGTTGAAATTTGGGATGTCTAATGTTCTTATAGAGCTCTATAACATATATTCGGGTTTTTTGGAAATTCCCAAAATTTTGGATTTTATTAGCAGTTTTCCAAAAAAAACATAGTTTTTTGAATTTTTAGGGGTGAAAAACGCATTTTATGGAAAATCCGAGATAGCCATTTAAAAGATCTCCTTGAGCTGCGTCTATTCATGTCTTTAATTTGCAATTTGCTTTAAACCTCGATTTTTGGCGATTTTTTAAACATTTACCACTTTTTGACTGAAAACGCCATGTAGTTACATCACTAAAATCGATATATCTAAAAAAAAGGAAAATTTTTCTTAAAAATTACACAGGAGACGTCAAATTGATGGGGGAGAAGGTATGTCAAGTTTCAAGTTGATAGCGTAAGCGGTTCATAAGTTATTAAAGAAAAACGGAGGGGGGGTCGGATCCGACCCCCCCCCCCCCAGGCGGTCACGGGTTGATAAATGCTTATTAGGTAAACAATGTTGTAATTTGACCATGGCACAACATTTCCATTCTATTTTATCCCGTTCGTTCTAGCCCCTCTCGCCAGCCCCCCCCCCCCCCCACACACACACACACACCACCATCACTACCACCAAACCGGCTGAGTTGACTGAGGCGAGGCTGGCTGAGGAGAGCGCCTCCCCTCCCTTCATACCAAAACAGCGCCTGGCTGTCGTGACCTCTGGCCTTACCGCCCGAAGGCTCGCCCGCTGTCCAAGGACGCCCTGCGCGGGCCGCAGTGATAGCCTCTGCCGAGTCCCGCCTCTATCCACCGTTCCCACGCGCTGGATTCATTCATGCCTCTGTGTTTCAGCGTCCTACTCGTTGGGCGGCGCCACTGTAGTCATAGGCGACTGCAGGGAAGCCGCGGTCAGAATGTCCCAAACGGCGAATTTTGAGGTTTTCTTTTAATTTCTCCGAAACTAGCCGGCATACGATCAAACCATTTTCCATAATCATGGAAGGGAGCTATACGAATAAATTGGTCTTACCTTCAAAATCAAGCTCACAAAGCTGAAGACCAAAAAGATATAGCCGGAAAGGCAAAACCTACGCTTAAAACCCGCGAGACCTGTACAGGGGTAAAAAAAAGTTTCTTTACCCAGAGTCAGTCCGCTCCACGATTTATTGTCGTATTTGGTAAGGTATCGGTGCTACGATTTTCTGTAATTAATATCACTAGTACCACCCGCTGCCGGTCAGTACCCGCCAGGTGCAGAGCTTAACGTTAATTTTGAAACATATTTTCAAAAAGAGTGTCCTGTCACCGTCTGGACCCGGGCCCTGTCGCAAATTTACAAACTGTATACACGTCTTCGGAGACCGAGCCGTGACGTCATGCCAATGGGCGGAGTGAAAGGCTGTAGCGGCGCTTGGCAGGTGACGTCAAGTGCAGGGGCGGAGCGGAAGACTCGCGGATAGTGGAGCTTACCTACTCGATGAGAAATTGTAATGTTGTGTTGAATATTTACAACTAGCTAAAACCCCTGATCTTGTTTGGGAAAATAGTTCATCCGAAAGACCAACTTATACTTACGATAGCATAATTGGTAAACGCAGTTGCCTGCAAATTTTGAATGTCAATCAGACCGATCCTACACCAACTGCCTGTGGCGAAGTCGCTATGATCCTTGCATATCACCTAGAGGAGCCGAGTTCGATTCTCGGGGCGGTGAGTTTTTCTCATGAGCTCCGACGTCTAATTGAACGGTTTTACGTAAGCCTATAAGTAATATAAAGCAAACCCCTCTTATTGACGAACGCGGTTGGCGGCTCACACGCATGTTGCAGGTCAGAGTGGGTGGTATGAAACGACGCGTCTCGACCGTCTCCGTGTTGTTTGCTAGGTGTGCGCGCTGTCAGTGCACGGGTTTTGTGCATTTCGCCGAAAATCATTCTGGATTCTAATGAAATCGGACGTCTAAATAGGCCCGACTCGGCGGCGCTCTGAACGGCAGACGGCTTAAAAGATCAACTTGAAACTTATACGCCCGTCTAGCGGCATCGATTTTGGCGAGGCACTTTTCGGATCTTCGGCATTTTGGAGCATAGTTAGAGATCCGAAAAGTGCCTCGCCAAAATCGATGCCGCTAGACGGGCGTATAAGTTTCAAGTTGATCTTTTAACCCTATTCCTGGCGGGGGGGGGCCCTCAGGAGCCCCCCCTGAGGTTTTTTGGTTATTTCTCCCAAACGCGTTGAGCTAGGAAGCTCAAATTTTCTGACTTTTCCTGAAAGGCTTCTACGCAACATGTCTGAAAATTTTGAGTTGATCTGACCTCAGGTCAGGTCACCAGAGGCGGTTTGGTGACCCTACCTCAGAAAAGTTTGCAATCACGCCAGAGCTAGAGTTTTTGACCGATCAATTTCTTCTCTTCAGGCTTTAGTTAGGGTACCAGTATGTGCAATTTGTATATCTCGGAATTTTGATATCGGTGACCTAAGGTCAGGTCAGTTTCGCGACCTCCCCATTATAAGTCAATGGGGGAAAAATCAACTCCCTGTTTTTACCACTAAAACGGGTCGGAATGGCCCCATATACCATACATGACTTCATATACGATCAACCTTCACTACCTTGAGGTCTGTTTTGCTGTTGGGCAGCTGTGAGGTCATGTGACGTCATCAAAGGTCACCAAAGGTTTTTGGCCAATAACTCCGTACAGGAACAAGATACAGACGCGTGGATGGTCTCATTGTGTTCAGCTCGTCAAGACGCATCGAATGATATACATGATGACCTCGAGGTCACGTGACCTGAGGTCAACCTTTGACCTTGACCTTGCGAGGTCAACATATATATCATTCGATGCGGATTGACGAGAGGATCACGATGATGCCCTTAGTTTGTTCCTATCTTGACTAATTCGAAAGTTATTCGAGAAAAACTCTCCATATCTAGCGCCGCCATTTTGACTTTTTCGACCCCTGTGACGTCATCTTTGACCTGACCTGAAAATGACCTTCGTAAAAATTGTAGATCTTGACCGTGCGTATCCGATGCCGTTTACCGTTTGTCGCTATCTTGCTTCGTTCTCGAGATCTCAGGGGGGGGCCGAATCGCCCCTCCCCCCCCCCGCCAGTTTCTTGTCCCGGCGGAGCCCGCCAGGAATAGGGTTAAGCCGTCTGCCGTTCAGAGCGCCGCCGAGTCGGCCTATTTAGACGTCCGATTTCATTAGAATCCAGAATGATTTTCGGCAAAATGCACAAAACCCGTGCACTGACAGCGTGCACACCTAGCAAACAACACGGACACGGTCGAGACGCGTCGTTTCATACCACCCACTCTGACCTGCAACATGCGTGTGAGCCGCCAACCGCGTTCGTCAATAAGAGGGGTTTGCTTTATTATAGGCTTACGTAAAACCGTTCAATTAGACGTCGGAGCTCATGAGAAAAACTCGCCGCCCCGAGAACCGAACTCGGCTCCTCTAGTTGATATGCGAGGATCATAGCCACTTGGCCACAGGCGCTTGATGGACGATCGGTCTGATTGACATTCAGACTTTGCAGGCAACTGTGTTTACCAATTATGCTATCGTAAGTATCCTCATCCATGATACTCGTCGCATCACATCAATCAAACAATCTGAAATCAATCACGCTGCAACCATCTATACCAATACGGCCTTGGCAACGATTGTTTACAAACAAAATCGCGCGCTCGCCGCACTGCGCCGCCCGCCGCGCTGTGAAAACAGCTGGCTAGCCAACTTCGCTCCGCCCCTTCTCTGACGTCATGGCCGACGTCACGCCAGCGGCTGGTGCAATATGATTGGCGCTCCGAAGGCGTGTATACAGTTTGTAAATGCGCGGCCCTGTCACCGTCCACCTCTTTGTCTCGTACCGCAGGCGTGGTGTACATGCTGGCCAAGGCCTACCTGGTGTTCAAGGAGGAGAAGTACCTGCACGCCTGCCTCAAGTGCGGCGACATCACCTGGCAGAAGGGTCTGCTGCGCAAGGGGCCCGGTAAGTCGGCTCATATAAATAGTACGGCATGTATGTACAGTATATCTAAAAAGTATGTCCCCTGGTTTGGCTCTCCCACAGGAGGCGAATCGGTAACTTGGCTGAATCCCAGTTGCGGCACCCGGCCGCCAGGGTCGCTGCCGCGCGAGCGGCCTTGACCGCTCGCATGTCATTGGCAGTTCGGTCCCTCCCCATCTATACCGAGGTGGGGAGGGGAGAAGAGGGGAAGAGAGGGGAGGGAGCGGCTTTCGCTCGGCACTTGGCGATACCTGGCTGACCCCGCGCTCCCTCGCTGACCTTTGTCCTGCCCTCAGGCGAAGACCGACTTCCTGGCCTGTAGCGGCCCAGCGGAAAACCGAGCTCGCGGGGCGCGACTCCATTGGCCCAATCTTATAAATGGAATGCTGTCGCATTCACGGCATTAGATAATATTAATAGTGATACCAGCAGTGGATGTGGTAAAATACAGTCCAAAATAAACGAAAGCACACGATTCGTGCATAATGCGCCCTCCCATTCAAATAAGCCCGCCCACTTCGATAGATGGTGTAGTTTCTTAGGGCGTAAAAGATGCAAAACACTACCGATTTTTTAGCTCGGCCACTGGGACCGACAATATACAGTATATAATATATAATATACAATATACAATATATAATGTACAATTGACTGAAATACATGAAAGCCATTTTGCATTTAGGTAATAGCCGTTTTCTGCACCCAAACTTTAGCCAGTGACACCCTGTCCATTCTAAAGCGTTTATAAGATTGGTCCCAGCACCCGATTTTATATGAGGAAGTCGTTTAAAAAGCATCTTATTTCTAACGAATTTATTATTATGGCCACTTTTACAGGACGTCTATAGAGCTTTGACTTTCACATTTCTTCCTCGTTCAGGAGAAACGTTTTAACCCTCACCGGACCTTCAGGTTTTCTGAATACCGAGGGGATGTTGGGGGTTGGAAGTGAGGAAACAACCCCCTTCGCCGATTCGCCCCTAATTGAGCTAGAGCCTCACGAAAGAAACGATCGTGTGCGTCGTTACGAAATGCAGCGATTGGTCTCCGATTTAAGGACCAGGGTCAGCCGATGACTTCGGAGGTCAGGTCAAGTGGCCCAATGCACAGGTTCGGTTTTTGGTAAATAACTTCGCTAAAAATGATCGCAGATCCGCGATTTTAGCAGCATCGTGTTTGTCTAGCTCAGGCGTGTCGAATTGTATACTTTTTCTTCGGGTGAGATCAACTTAACCCTCGCCCGTATAGAGGGGGGGGGGGGGTCGAACGGACCCCCTCCCTCGGTTTTTCGCGAATAACTCGCGTAAAAAGCGGCCGATCACGACGAAACTTTCAGTACCCTCGCTTTAATCAATTTTACACCCACCCTGAAATTGTCATGACCCTGACCTTAATGACCTTTGACCTGCGACCTACTTTTTGAGACCATGTTTGGCCGGAATCGCGATTCGGCGTATGTCGGCTCGCATTAGCGGCGCGTTTGCAGTCTTTTCGTGGTTTTAAGCGTTCAAACATGGGATATGATCTTGCTTCCATGCATTAGGGTGGGTGTCAAGGTCACCGGAAAGTCAGGTCAGGTCATTGACCTTTGATGACCTCGGTTCACTTTTTCGAGTTTTACATGTTTCTAGGCCAGTTTTAGGAGCTGAATTCGAATTTAGCAGCCATATGAACATTTACGAAGCAGTTTTGGTGCCCTCGTAACATGTTGCGAAGCTGTCAGAGGCGGTTGCCCCCTACTACGAATACCCTTACTGGTTGACCTGACCTGACTTGACCCGACCTGGCCTAAATGCATGAAGACATCATCTGTGATCAAAACTAACATGATATTCGTGATCAGCACCCCGAAAACCCCATGGCAGCCACGCTTTACGACTTTCTAACAGGTCCCGATTTCCCCGACTTTTGGGTCATTGACCTGGCCTGGAAAGTCAACCGATGACCTAGGACCTTAAAATTGGGTATCATCGACTTCCTCTCGTGACGGGCAACACGCTCGTTTTTTCCGCGAAGCTCTAGCTCGATCAGGGGCGAAACGGCAAGGGGGGGGGGTCCAACGGACCCTTATACGTTTGAGGCTGGAAAAACACCAATACGGGCGAGAGTTAAGGTGTTAACCTCGGGTCAAGGTCAGGTCACAGCCCGTCAGGTCACGAAGCTGTTCTAAGGAGGTCATATTGCATATCAATCGATTCAGCAGGTCTTTTCATGTCCATTAGTGGCTTTATCGACTCGGTAGCTTTAGTTGATCGGGAGTTATTGACGAAAAACTGATAGCCTTAGTTACGTGATAAATGACGTCACGCAAGATCAACAAAGCAAAATTGAAGCATCAGACCTTGCAAGGAGCGCATGAAATCACGATTCCGTGTGCTTGAGAATTTGAGATAGTTGTATATCATTTCCGGACCAAACTAGCAATTTCCATATTCCCCTGACTTTTAATGGTGAGAGACTGACCTGATCTCAGGCGACCCTTCAGAAAATCCTAGATATACATTTATACAAGTTGTGAGAGCTCTCGATCATACTATAAGATCCTGTAAGTTTCATCTCCCTATGAAAGCTCTGCACTGAGGGTGTTGCGAAGTTGGAACATTTTAGCACAGTCCTAAAATGTTCATTTTAGGACAGTTTAGGACAGTTTCACACAGTTCATTTTAGGACTGCTCATTTATGACGTCATAGATCAGTGACCTGACTTGACTTAAAAATGCGGTTGGCGTAAAAAATCCGACTTATCAAATCCCGACTAAAAAAATAGACTTATAATCCGGTTAATCAAATCCCAACCATGTTTTTACCTGGCCATTAATGTTCTAGCCTTACAGGTGATTGTTTGAACGAGGAAGATGCTGAATCTTGGTTAACCCCATACTTATCGTATGATAAAGAACGTCAGTGTTACTTGTTAGAAAGTTAATTAGCAATTTTATTTAGGATAGTTTAATTCAAGTGGGTATAATCCGACTTGACTAGGAGGGTTTTGCAGCGCTATTATTTCGGTATTTAATTATAAATCATTGCTAACTTCGATCCGGATATCGTTATTCAATGCTGGCCTTTGCGTCCTCAGAAAAGTTGTTTAGTCATGAAGGCTTGCATTGACCCATACTTTCCATTTTTCAGCACCATTATTCGCCGTAGTTGACCAGATGTTTTTCTTCAGCTCTCCCCTGAATCCTTTGGCTTAGACCTGGCGTATCATCCGTGCATCGCAAGACGCACCTACCACACACAAGTTCATGATCCCCACGAACCCACATCAGCGTCCGTTCGCTTGGTGTGTGACCCCTTGACCTTTGGCCGCGACAACTGCCAGCTTGCTGGAGCACCCCTCCCTACACGCGCTGCCCCGCCCGCTCCCCTCCCTCCCCCCCCCCCCCCCGGGGGTCGTGTCACGAAGGTTCGGGCTTACGCTACTACCGGCCGCTGCGCAGCTGTCACCGAGCGCTTGGGAATGTGTGGTCTGGTGCGGATTCAGCCAACTACCGGCTCGCGACACCAGCGCCACGTAGTGGCGACGGTACATTCTTTTTAGACACACTGTACGGTTCTCCAGTCGTTGGTCGCTCGGCGAGCGGGAGGGCAACCAGTTCCGCCCCTGTATCGCGTGACCCCTTGCTCAGCCCAGTTACGCACGAGCGTACTCCACGCCGCGTAGTAGCGTGGGGAGGGGACGTTAGAATGGTCGCATGTGTAGAGGCTAGAACCGGTTTCCACCGCCATGCCACCGCCCAGCGACATGGAGCGGGGTCAGTGACCAGGGCACGGGGAAAGGTCAGAGGTCAGCTATAACGTAGAGCTTTGTGTCTCCCTCCCCTCCGCGTGTAACGACCGCACGACAGCGGCCGGCGGCCGATCAGGCTTGACATGTCAAGACCAGCAGTCAACGGGCTCAGAGGGTTGGTCGGGTGCGCGTCCGTGGCTGACGACAGTCTCGACCATGTGCTATGGTGCCGATGGACTAGCGTGGGTAATAAGCTTTTGTTCACTGCATATGGCTGCTCGGGTGCGTCATCTGATATGATGCTTTGCAATGTGTATGATACGTTTAAAACCTCGCTGGCAGTGGCCGAGAGGAGAAGAGGGGGAGGCGGATGCCCCCCTCTACATGTGTCTAGTTGCTGATAGCTGTGAGAGCTGAAATTTTGGAAACCTGACCTTTGATTCCAGCCGAATTTTTATGACAGCAGCTGTATTTTAACCCTCGCTCATATTGGTGTTTTGCCAGCGACTAGCGTAAAGAGGAGGGGGTCCGTACAACATCACTTGCATCACTTGTTAATTCTTCAAAAAGCAAGCTCTGAGCAATAACAGACTTCTTTGCATTGCTGTTGACAATTTAAGTTGCTTTTGGACGGTGGCTCGCAGCCCGAATATGCTGCCGCGTAACTCTATTCAAACGACGAAAAGGCAACTTAGCGAAAATCGAGAAGTAGGTACAACAGGAGCTGGCAAGGCTCCTGCATTGGTCTATCCGTCATGAGTGACACACCGGGGTAATGTGTCACGTCAGGGTAGAGCTGTGTTCTATGCCGGGTCTGGATTCGGGTCTTGATCGGCATCGGTTTGCACGGCCGCCCTGGCCGGACTGCCGGCGTCCTTATGCTCGAAGGATTGGATAAAACGGCGCTTGATTCATATTCATGTTCATGTGTGCTGAGGTTCATGGTTCATGAGGTTCATGTGTGCATATTATGTGTGCTGTGATTGGATAAAAGGCATGTCCACCATGACCTCTCCGATTTTGCTCAAATTTGGCATACAAATTGACCTATGGGCACTACTACGTCCCAGGGAATTTTTAGTCTCTAGGTCACAGGGGTCATGAAATATGGGTCATGCAAATTTTAAGGTTTCCCGGAATATTGAAATATAAAGTATTTTTTATCTCTGCAGCGGTTTACCGGATCAAGAAAAGTTATATATGAAATAATAAGCACATAGACTGGTGCTACTAGTAAAACTGTGAATGAAACCCAAAGGTCATTTTTTGACCTCGTGACCTTTCAAATTTGTCCTATTTTAAAAATTCTAATTTTCCCCTCAAGGATGGCTTATCCATGCTCTCAATATTGGTATGTGATTTGATTGGTATATCGGACCCGTTGACCTCAAACTTAGGTCAACAATGTGGTCATGACCTGACATAAAAATGACATCTGCCCAGAACGTCGTGAATCATAGGCAATATGGGTGTCATATGAAAGCTAACTTCACGGAGAATACATTGGTGGTGTTTTTGAGTATGAGTAGGTATGGGCCGGGTCAAGGTCACATTAGGTCAGTGACCTAACACAGCATTGTGTTCTTTGAAGGTGGCGTATTTTATTTGTTTGGTAAGTCCAGTGATCAGCATGCAATAAAAAGGAAACAAAACGTCATAAAACGTCTTTTTTATTCAAAAAGCAGAGATAAAATGCACACATACCCATATAAACACACTCGCAAAAACACACACATTCATACACCTTGTTCGAGGAAGTTCTTTCAAACAAACCCCAGTGACACACGCGCTGTGAAGAACGAGTCTCAGAAGACTCGGACAGCTTGAAGGCTGCTATGGTATTGGAGTCGAGCAGTACAAAGCGGTGAAACGTCCTGGTACCCTTCACCATGCGGGCACTTGTGAAGCGTTCTTTCATTTTTGTCTTCGTTTCTGCTATTTGCGTTGCGGGAGCTGACGCGGGAGCTGAAGCGGCATTTCAGGCAGTGGTTATTCCCCACATTTGAAATGAATGCCCAAGACTAAAAAATACACTACTTCTCTGACGGAGCAGCGTCCCAGTACAAGAACAATACCATTTTGCAAATATATGTCATCATGCCGAGGATTTCGGTGTTCAATGGGAGTGGATTTTTTGCCACCTCGCATGGCAAAAGCGCATGCGATGGTATTGGTAATACTGTGAGGACCACCTTACCGATAAAATGCATTTCTTCTTCGTTTCGGCAGCGCAAATAGCAGGAACGAAGACGAAAATGAAAGAGAACGGTTCACAAGTGCCCGCACGGTGAAGGGTAGGTAGTAGGTACCAGGACGTTTAACCGCTTTGTACCGCTCGACTCCCACACCATAGCAGCCTTCAAGCTCTCCGAGTCTTCTGAGACTCGTTCTTCACACCGCGTGTGTTACTGAGGTTTGTTTGAAAGATCTTCCTCGAACAAGGTGTATGTATGTGTGTGTGTTTGTGCGAGTGGTGTGTATATGGGTGAATGCATTTTATCTGTGCTTTTTGAATAAAGACAGACGGTGTTTTATGACGTTTTGTTTCCTTTTTATTGTGTGCTGATCACTGGGCTTACCAAACAAATAAAATACGCCACCTTCAAAGAACACAATGCTGTGTTAGGTCACTGACCTAATGTGACCTTGACCCGGCCCATACCTACTCAAAAACACCACCGATGTATTCTCCGTGAAGTAAGCTTTCATATGACACCCATATTGCCTATGATTCTCGACGTTCTCGGCAGATGTCATTTTCATGTCAGGTCATGACCACATTGTTGACCTCAGTTTGAGGTCAACGGGTCCGATATACCAACCAAATCACATACCACTATTAAGAGCATGGATAAGACATCTCTGATAGAAAAAAATCAGAATTTTTAAAATAGGACAAATTTGAAAGGTCACGGGGTCAAGAAAAGGTCACGAGGTCAAAGGGTCAAAAAATGACCCTGGGGTTTCGTTCACACTTTTGCTAGACGCACCAGCCTTTGCGCTTCTTATTTCATATATAACTTTTTTTGATCCGGTGACCCGTTGCAGAGATAAAAAATACTTTTTATTTCAATGTTCCGGAAAACCTAAAAATTTGCATGACCCATATCTCATGACCCCTGTGACCTAGAGACTAAAAATTTACTGGGACGAAGTAGTGCCCATAGGTCAACTTACATGCCAAATTTGAGCAAAATCGGAGAGGTCATGGTGAACAATTGAAAAAAATTAGGTGATTTGTCGTGGAATTGCCCAGGGTGCCGTGCACATTGCACAAGTCAGTTGGGACCCATTTTGCACGTGCGCACGTGCAGCGTGCCGCTTCCAGATCTCGAGAACGGCTGGGCCGATTGTGCTCAAATTTGGCACATCGCTAGAGACCGGTTAGTAAGGTGCCGTGCACAAGTCAGTTAGAGGTACCCCCTCGCAATTTCGCACGTGCAAGGCCCACCCTCTCGCTCACTCCGTTAGTCGCCCCAAAAGGCGCTATACTGGTTATATATCGTGTCTACGTGCCTGTGTCTCTGTCGGTCCGTCGGTCCCTCCCTGCGCCGAGTGTGTGGTTGTCGAGTCCGGTGTGTGACGGCCGTTGCGGGTCCTCCCCCAGGCATCTGTCACGGCGTGGCCGGCAGCGGCTACGTGTTCCTGCTGCTCTACCGGCTCACCGGAGACCAGCGACACCTGCACCGCGCTCAGCAGTTCGCCTCGGCCATCTTTACCGAGCAGTTCCAGCGCCACTCGCGGCAGCCCGACTGCCCCTACTCGCTGTTCGAGGGACTGGCCGGCACCGTCTGTTTCCTGGCAGACCTGATGCAGCCAGAGAAGGCCTCGTTCCCGTTCTTCGACATTTTCAGCTAGGCTGCGTAGGCTGTGGTGGGGCCAGAGACGGCCAGAGCACACTGTGCAGGCATTCCAGGGCGCGGAGCGGCCGTGTGCGCACGTGCGGGATGCGCGACCGCCGGCCTAGTCCCGTGGCCGCTGCCATCACCGGTGCAGCCAGTGCCGACACAGCCGGACGGACCGGACCGGACCGGACCGGACCAAACGGCATAGTGGGCGCCGCCGGTCTTTGTCGTGTTAATAACATCTTTCGAAGCGTCATCGTTACATATGTGAACAGGTTGGCATGCGCGCTAGTTGACGTCGCCTTTCGCCCTGTATCAGTGCTGAATTTTTGACTACAATACATCTGTATTTTATTAGCAGCGATTGACACTGTGGGCACACACTACGAGCTGGCTGGCTGGCTGGCTGGTCAGTCAGCCGGACCGGGTGGTGTACAGGTCGTCGTCCTCCGGCTGCGACTGGCCCGGGTCGGGCACCACGGGTGCGATAGTCTGCCGGACAGAAACCGGCGTCACACGCAGTCGCAGCAGCCGCGCAGTCACACGCAGTCGCCGCCCCGACACCCGACACTGCCACACGCTGTCCTGACCACTGCCTTTCGCCGGCAGCGCATTAGCCAAGAGTATTACACGAATCGGCCGACCAACTGGTGTCATATTTCGTGTGACGTCACAGTGATGTCTATAGTTCGTTTTTTTTCAAAAGAACTCTAGCTCCAAGCATGCTTTCCGAATAGGCACGTGTTTCAGTCAGCGAAAGGGCAAAAACTAAACCTGGGAAAACCGAACGTCGACTAATTTTAACAAGTGATTTTCCCGATAATTTCCATACGTGAGTTTTTGAGCTAGATATTAGAACAGTGGTGATGTCATACTGTCAAATTTTATTTGAAATGCAATGTCAAATTTTCCTTGGACAGAACTGTTTACTCGATTCTTACTACAGTACCAGTGAAAACGAAATTGTCCTAAAACTCCTTGACATTTAAGCCGTCGTAAGGAGGGTGCCAGCTGCCGCCAGTGACGTCATCATAGCATGTTCATGTTTGAGGACACAATGTCTAGGCATTTACCAAGCATAATTTGATATGAAATATTTTTTTCGGTAAGAAATTCTTGGCCAGACGCTGAAGCTGCCAAAACACACGTGAGAGCTTCGATGGCGAACTAGGAGCCAGAGCTCTTCCGAAGAAAAACAAACCATAGCCCCCAAATTCCCTGCCCCGGATCCGCCCCTGCCATGACGTCACCTAAGAGGCCACGCTATAAGTCGGCCGATTCGTGTAATACACTTGGTGAATACGCAACCCGGCAGTTGCTTGGGGTATTCAGACTCCCGCCGTTTGCTGGCGGTGGGGGGGGGGGGGGGGGCGTTAAATGCTCCCAGCCGATAACTCGAGAACCTTTAGGCGCAGCGAAACGCACGAGGCGGCAAACGAAAGAACGCGACGAGACGTTTCAGATGAGTATTTGAAAGCTGAATTTTGAAGGGACAATATGACCTTTTCCCACAAAATCTGAGTTAGGGTCATTTTCTGAAAGAAAACATGAAAATAAAATGTAAATTTATACAATTTTACTCACATCGGTACCTTGCCGCCAATACCTCACCTTAACCCGGCAGACGGTGGGCCTACCAGCCACCTTCCGCGCGGTGGGGGGGGGGGGGGCATTTTTTTGCCCCCCCCCCGTATCTCCGAAACTACTGGACGGATCCGGAAAATTCAAACGGCGTTCGATAGCCCTGTCAAATTTGTCAAAGGAAACCAAATTTCATTGACCTCGGGGTCACCGATGACGTCACAGGTCAGGTCAAAGATGAAATGTTTCACCGTTCACGGGGCTTCTAGGGAAAGCGCTATAACACCGAGTAAAACTCATTTTGTCGAAAATCAGCGATAAGGCGTCAGTTGTCTAGTACATATGTTGCTATTAGAGGTCACTGGTCATACCAGGTCAGGTCACAGGTCAGGTCACCAAGGGTCACCACATGAGCCCAACTTTACTAAGGTTATGCGATGCATGTTTTATGGCCAGTTTTTCATTTGCAACTCATTGGTGTTAGTTATAACTTATAAGACCATCAGGTACGGTTTAGGTCACTTTCTGGTGGAGGTCAGGTAAAAAAGGTCAAATTTCAAAGTTGATATTTTGCATAAAATGGGTATCGATTCGATGCAGCTCGTCACGGGGAGTCTAATGGTGGTCTTTGTTTTGCGCTAACGAGGTCTAGATTTGCTAAAAATTGAGTTTGAAAATTTGACGTCATCAATTTTGAAGTTTTTTCGCTATAACTTGGCCAAAAAGAGGTATCGATCTAAAATTTGGTATGTCGATAGAAGGCGGTAGGGACTATCACATATTCCGGTTTTTTCGAAATTCAAAAATCGTTTTGGATTTTTTGGCTATTATATTCAAAAAATCTATTTTTTTATTTTTGGGGGTCAAAATCCAAAAAAATTCGAAAAACCGAAATAGCAGTTTTGTAGCCCTTTTGATTCCACACCTTTTATGTCGAAACAGTTTTCTGTATCTCTAAAGCTGTAGGCCTGACAGCTCTTCCCGCGAAACCTTTTTTGGGTCGAAAATGGCAAAATGACGTCACTCTGACGTCATTAGCGGCCAACCTATCATAGCCTTTGGATAAATTTTTGGTCACCATGTGCGCTAGCTGCTCCCGGGAGGGTACTGAAAGTTTGGTGACGATCGGCGCAGTGGTTCTCGAGATATATTGAAAAAAAAACTAAAGGGGGGGGGGGCAAAAAATGCCCCCCACCGCCTGGAAGGTTAAAGTTACTCAAGCGCGGAGCGCTGAAAACAGTTCCACTACTGTGTCCGGTGGTGCGGCTGTTCCCTCAGCTGTTCCCTCCCCGCCGCCCTCCCTTCCCTTCCCTCCCCTCCCCTGGTAGCTATTAGTGTCTAACTAAGGCGGACGTTCGCTGTTCTTAAAGGGACCCTCCCACCTTCAAAAAGGTCAATGAATTGACATGAAAGTGATGTCGCTCGGTTCAGAAAGAGCAAAAACGAATATCTACCCAATTTCACCGAAAAATATTCACCGGTTTTCTAGATATTAGACTTTTACTTTTGTTTACATTTTTGGGATCTCCGCTGTTCCTAGCGACTTCATTTTAGAAGTGCGGCATTCGCGGCAGATGTTGAGCGCAAATAGCATATTACCACCACTGCTTTACAAAGATGTTAGTATAAGGTTTAAAATCGTTAGATCACCACTGTCGTCACAAATTCTAAGGGGGCATCTCAATGCATTAGCCCCTTAGAATCCGAAAACTGCAAGTTTGAAATTCCATATCTTTCTAGTTGTGGTTTATTTGCCATTGGGTCTACAGTGCAGGGATATTTCTATCTCGCACTCCTCTGAGATGCAAAGATAAGAATTTGTTATCTCTGCATCCCTCTGAGATGCGAAGATAAGGTCTCGAGGGTTCATAGCTAAAAATCAAGAGTTCAAGTGATGATGGGTCAATAACCGAACCATTTTTAACGGTTATTTGTGTATGAAGCTTATGAAATAAATACAAAATACTCTAAATCTATTTTTACATAGATAAATACATTTGAATATGATATTTAAATAAGTGAGAATAAACCTCAACATAGAAAGATATAGGATTCATCATGGCTCACTCGTGGAAGATCGGATATCTTTTCCTCGCGTGTTACAGAAAAACCTCGCTCCTTCGTCAAAAGATATCCTTCCACTCGGAGCCATGAAGAATCCTCTATATCTCCGAATTAAAGCATTTTTCGATGTTGTGAGTGCCCAAACCGGTATTTGCAGGCCATGGCCACCAATTTGGCTATCTCAACTCAAAACTAATGTTAAGGTGGGATGTTCACTTTAATAAGCTCGATCAGCCTCGACCATTTATGATTAAACTCTGAAATATGACCTGCCGTATTCGCGATACACCTTTCCACTGCAATATAGTCAAGCGCGCATGAGGTAAAGCCTTTTAAATGAGGAATAAAGTTAAGTTGTTTACAACTCCAAATATACCGTTTTGCAAGAAGAATATGAACGTAAAATACCTCGGGCATTCCACGATAGATCGTACCACTTTTTTTCCAATTTGACACCCTCATCTCTCGGATTTTGACGAGAATCGGTCTCAGGGGTAATCAGGGGCTCTGAATCTACCTGTTACAATTTCAGGCTTATCAGATTAGTATTTTTTTAGTTATGGTGTATAACATTTTTTGGATCTTGCTTTGCAGCGTTAAGTTTGGTGGGCTGTAACTCGAAGACGGATTATTCAAATGTCAAATGTTATATAGCTTAGAACTTGCAATGAAAGATATTATTATGTATTTTTGAAATTTTGAAAAATACGTTATTTTTATATATGACATATCGAGTTTTCCTTCATTTGTATTTTTTGGACTTTGGGACCAATTTTTTTTTTTGAATTTTTATTTCCTTTAGAAAATATTTGGCTCATTGTTAAGAAGTATGCAAAAAATTAGGAAGGTGTTCTTTCTATAAATGTATTTATTTTGCGTCGCGATAACGGTCTCGAATAGTGATTTCGGGAGGGGAGCTTACGAATGGCGTGGTAAAGCTGCCTAGTGACATCACGGGTTACTGATATTTCAATTGAGGTCCGAGTCATCTGAAAAAAATGAAGAGGGTTCATCCAACCCTCTTTCCTATGAGCGCGGGAGTGAAAAAAGCTGTTTGGTTCTGTCATTGTTTTGGACACCAATAACCATAGCTGTCCGAGATGAAAGTTACAAGACGCATATATGGTGTCCTCCAGAGGTCTCATAACTTGTATGTCTGGGAATTTTAAAGGTCACATAAGTCAGTATAACGTGACATCACTGTTATACGTCAATGAGGAAATATAAAAACTGTTATTTTGGCGCCGAAAATGATCTAAAACTATCTCACGTAGGGGAGAGTGGGGTAAATTGGCCGGTGGTGTAAATTGGCCGCCCCCACCTGTACGAAAGCTGATAAAAGTGAATGAATATAGTTCTTCTGAATGCTTGAGACGAGGTGTTAGTATCACTGATGTTAGTTGTCGGACTTTCGTCCCCGTCTTGAGTTGAGATGTTAGTTTCACAACGTTCAACGTTTGATCAACGTTGAGATGTTGTGAAACTAACATCTCAACTCAAGACGGGGACGAAAGTCCGACAACTAACATCAGTGAAAAGTGAATGAAATGACTTTAGTCTCTATTCATTTGCCATCGGCAGAACTAACTCGAGAACAAATGTCAAAATTTTCCCCCACTTAGTTTTATTCAAAATTAATAAAACGTGAATTTCGTAACTTTTACTTCCGTTTAAAAATTTGTATAACATGTAGTATTTGGGCTGTAAACGAATTCCAACATTATAGCGCCATTCTTGAGGGTGTTCAGCGGTTTCAAGAGCAATTTCATCTAGTTCTGTACAGCCATGACGACTTTATAGACAAAAGTTTTCAGAATGGCAATGTGGGGTTATTTGGCCGGGACTAG